AGCCGCATTCACATCTGCTTTGTGCTCCTTGTCCCTGCTAAGAGTCTAATCCAGAGGGCAGCTCCTGGTCCCAGAGGCTTCATCAAACATTCAATCTCCATAAAGTGCCCCACGTGGAAAATTTTTGATGGGAATGAAATACTCCCAATATTGAATTTAAAAAAATCTCTTTATTTGGAATGGGCATTAGTAAAGTCTATCAGTTATTTTAACAGTAGAAGAAAGGATAAATGAGGTTTTAGCAGGCCAGCTCCAGAATCCTAATTCGAAGCTTGGCATTGGGGGTGGAGCAGAGAGGCAAGAGCTCAATAGCCAGCGCAATCATTGTTTCCAAAATCCATTCCAATGACTGGAGCTCACAGCCTTCGTGATTCAGCAGTACCACGCACTCTGCCAAAAGAGTAGTTTGGAAAAAGAATCTGATTTTAAATATGAAGTCAAGATTCTGTGGAAATATTTTTACTTACTGTATGCTGATATCCTCATAGCTATGGAGTTTTGTGTAACCAAATGTGTAGATGTGACCCTTCTTGGTTGAAACTACACGTAGTGCTTTGATATATTTATCTTAAAATCATCTGCCATGAGTCATATTATACGTAAGAAGTTAGAAATGCTTTTCAGAGGTCAAGACCAAGTCTGTGTCATGGCCTGGCTTGAATCACAGGCCGAATAACTTCTGCTCACCTCCTTCTTTGCCCAAGAGAAGGGAAACCAGAGCTGAGCAAGAAACAACAAAATCCATCTTGGTTTTGTGTGGCAGTGGCCTCCTTCTCAGAGCATTACTTAGTTTCTGTGCTGGGTCTGAGCATTATCAAAAAATTCTTTAAGTGCAAATAAAAACGCTGCTTCTGCAAATGTGAACACCTAAATATTAATCAAAGCTTTGCTGCAATCCTGCAGACATGCATAATGAGATTTCTTAGCTGTCAATCATTTTAATTCTGACAGCTATAATGAGATTCTGGTTTAATGTGTACTTCTCAATGACTTGGGGCCTGGAGCAGGTGTTGTCCTCTTTAAAAGATGACTAGCATACTGTCAACCAATTTCTTCCCATCTGGAAGGGGGAAGTAGCCCAAAGGGGTCTAGCATGAGTGAGACCACACAAGAATTGGGGGTAGCTATGGTGCTAAATTCCTATTTTTTTCTACCTCCATCGCTGTTCAAAGGAATGATGAATTCCAACTGTGACTGGTTTTAAAGAGTGACCATTTAATACAGGATTGTCTAATAAGATCAGGCAAGGTGTTTGAACTTGGTAGCTTTATTCAAATTCCAAGGGAAAATTTTCTAGTAAGAGAAATTAGTTATGAGTGTGTTCTTGGTTACAGAACATACTTTCTATTGGGACCTTTTACCTCCCTTGGGACCGCAGCCATTATTGGGTATTAGCTGAGGTGGCCTTATGGGTTCTTCCAGAACATTTCCGTATACGTGACCTGGCTGGATTGGAGTTCGTGGGCTTTTAGCCCACGCGCGGGCTTTTGACCTTAGCCCCGCCTAATGGTTTAATCTGAAATCTGCCTAGGCCCCTTAGTGATAGTGATGTAACTGCCCCTTATTGGTTCTTGCTACTGTCTCTTCTTACTCCCTCCTTCTATCACTATATAACCTTGTCCCTGACACAATAAAGTTGAGATTACTGCACCTTCACAGTTGACTCATCTCCTGACTCAGTGTGGATTCTGGGCCAGGTTGGGTGGCGGGTCAGGTCGCAACACTTACCCTCTCACTCAGCCCCAGAGACACTAGCTGGTCTAGTGCGCTTCACTACCTCTGTCGGAGGCGGTTCCTACAGCTGGTGCCTCGGAGACGACAGGCTGATCCTGCCTGTCTCCCACGTACCCTTGTCGCAGGGAGCGACACTTTCTGCCGTCTCTTTGAGATAATAAAATGCCATTTAAATTGCCCTCTCTCCCTGGTAAATTTGAAGAGAAAGAAAACTCTCTAAGTTTCTGATTACTTTGCAGAGCCTGAGACCATACCGAGTTACCACTTCAAGTCCCATGAGAAAAGAACACTGGTAGGGAGCCGTTTGGGATTTATAGTGCCACTTATTTCTATAAGCAAAATCAGTCATGAAAAAGCAAAAAGAAAGAGTTCTGGAACCCTCCAGGGTAAGTTCAAGAGGATACTTTAAAATCTTGACTTTTATGGCTCTAGACCAAACGAGGTGCCTTAGCCCATTGCAGGAAAGCAGAACTTCTAGAACGGACGCTGCCACTCAGTGGAGTCTTTGACTTTGTGGAACTCAGATAGGATGGGTGCTCTCTGTCTCTGACTCAGTCACTTCACCTCTGAGGTGGAGCTAGCAGCATCCACCAGGTTCTAGCATTATAACAGGTATCACCTTGGGGCTCTAAAGTTCTGTCAACGATGACCAAGACTTCACTCTAATGCAGAGAAACTAAAAACAAAACTGTAATGTAATTTTCCACATTTTTCATACCCAAATTGCCCTAGGTTATCCTCCTTCTGTGTCTGTGTTGTTCTTCTTCATCCTTTCTTACTGAACACTTGAATTGGGATATCAAAGGCCGGTGGAAGGAGGAAGAAAGGAAGGAACACCAAGTCACTAATATTTGAGCCTTTCTAGGCAACCTTGACCGCGACTCAGCAAAGCAGCCATGGGAAACCTCATTGGCTTGCTCCTATTAGAGAAGAGGCTGTGGTAGTCAGCTTGTCATTGCTGTGACCAGAATACCCAACAAGAACAACTTAGACCAGGGGAAGTTTATTTAGGCTCACAGTGTCAGTCCCTAGATGGTTGATTCCATGGCTCTGGACCCAAGGGGAGACAGAATATCATGGCAGAAGGGTGTAACAGAGGAAGACATCTCAGCTCACTGGGGCCAGCAGAGAAAGGGGAAGGAGCCTTAGAGAAAATGAGCCCTTCCAAAGCACAGTTCCGGTGGGTCACCCCCTCCAGCCACGCCCTACCTGCCTACAGTTACCGTCCAGTCAGTCCATTCAAGCTAGGATGGACTGATGAGGTCACAGCTCTCACCATTCAGTCATCGTACCTCTGAACATTCCTGCATTAACAGGAGTTTCAGGGGACAACTCATGTCCAAACCATAACAGGATACTCCAAGGCACTGGGAAAGGCCAGGTGTGAGGCTGTCGCCAGCCATCGCAAGAGGAGAGATATCTCTGTCCTTTACCTCCCTTCCATCCTTCCCCCTTAGTTTTGAGAAATTGGAGCCTCCTTGTGATCTTGACCCTCCTCTGCACCTTGGAGTCCTGCTCCTATCCCCTGCGCTCCCTGACAGAACCGCACAGCTTCCCACCAACCAGACAACATCACTGGCTGGAACTTGTCAGACACCCACACTGCTGTGCTCCCCCTCCCACTGTGGGGAGCCAGAGGGGGGAAGCCCACAGACCACCCACTGAGGTGCCCAGCAAGGGTCTGGAATGCAGAGGGAACAAGGACTCCTCCTTCTGTGGCCACAATTGTTGGAAAGTGGTTGGGACCTGCTGCCCGCCTTCCTTGAAGGTCGTCTTGCTGTTCACACTCTTGAGGGGCTGCAGTCTCTGTTGACCTTCTGGTCCCTGTTACTAAGGTGAACACTGCTGCTCTCTAGACACCTTGCCCTCACCAGTGTCCATTGAGCACTGTCTCCATGCAGTGGACAAAGCATCTCATAGAATCACCCTTAAATTTTAGAGTCAAAATAGATGGCCAGCGCCCTGCTTTTAGTGCAAGAGCCTGTGCTTCCTGCAAGCTCCTGCAGCCTTGGGTGTTGATCCCTAGAACTCAGAAAAAAATGCATGTTGGAGGATGTCCTCAATAGCTGTTATTTCAATGTTGGAGGAATGTGCTCTACAAATCAGAAGCAGTTGGAAGAACCCTGTTGCCCCTGTTATCTTGGAGTTAAGAGCGGGAATGTGAGGGGTGTGTATGAGGTAGCTTGTCTATTCTTTTTATTCACTGGGAGCCTGTTGCCACCATGGAGTCCCACTGCTGCATTATCCACAGGGGAAACTGAGGCACAGGGGCAGGACGGTCAGGCCAGGGCAGTGAGCAGCAGCACGGTTGGTTAAAAACATGGGCTTCCTGTCTCAGCCCGGAGCAGGCTCCACAACACCTGCAGCCCACAGACAGTTTGTCTGTAGACAAGAAGCCAAATTCTGTGTGTTCCATATAAACAAAGGTGTTTGTGGATACAAAGGCAGAAAATAGTGCTCGGGCTGACTGGCAGCTGAACAATGCGCGGAAAGAGAGACTGGAAATCTGGTGGTGTAGGTAAGGGGTGAGAGAAAGGCAAGGAAAACAAATAAAAGGAGAATTCAGGCTGGGCAGTGGGGGGCTGCTGGAAAACCTCTGAAATCCCCTGTGATGGGCCAGTAATGAAGTGGCCACCAGGCCGGGAGGGAGACGAGGGGACTGTGTGCTACAGGGACTGCTTATTCTTGTTACAACCTGAAATTGAGTGTAGGATCTGGAATATTGGACAAAAACCTTGCAGCTTCCAGACCCATGAGCAGAACTGAGAGGGCGGGAGGGCAGGGAGTGGGTTTCCAATCTGAGGAGGAAACAGAGGAAACATTGGACGAGAAAACAGATTCAAAGACCACCAAGCCTGGAAGAGCTGTCTGTTGACACCTGTCTTTCCAAACGAGGAAGCTGTAGCCCTGGGAGGTTAAATAACACTTTAGAAGGTTGCTGAGAGTTTGCAGAAATCACACTGGATCCTTCCTATTGTTATCCAAGTGAAGTGGGAGAGATAGTATCCCCCCAAAAGATATGTTCAAGTTCTAACCCCCTGGGACCTGTGAATGTGACGTTAGGAAAAGGGCCTCTGTAGATTCAATCCAATTCAGATGTCATACTGCTATGGTTGGGCCCTCAATCCAATATGACTGGTGTCCTTATAAGAAGAGGGCAAGCAACTCAGCATGCTGGGAGGAGAGTCATGTGAAGACAGAGAAATGATTGGAATGCTGTGTTTATAAGCCAAGGAATGCTGAGGATGGTTGGCAACCACCAGAAGCTAGGGGATTGGTGGGGAACAGATCCTTCCCCCTGAACCTCCTAAAGGAACCAACCCTGCAGACACCTGGATTCTGCACTTCTAATCTCCAGAACTGTGAGGATAAGTTTCTGTTGTTTTAAGTCCCCCAGTCACAATACTTTGTTATAGCAGCTCTAGCAGACTAATACATCAGGCTGAGGAAAGCAAGTCCGTGTGAGGCACAGAGCCTCCTTAGAAGGACAGCAGAACCATGGACACATTTGCTGGCTTCCTTCAGAATCTGGATCCACCGATGGATTCACCTCCTACAAGTTCTAGAAAATGTGGAGAGCAACTGAGCAAATGTGGAGAGTGACAGACAACTTGGGGAACAGGACAGAGAGAGCCAGGACCGGGTGAGGGGCCGTGGCTGCTTCCCATTATGGGGTCTGTCTCTGAGTGACTGGCTCCTTGCCCAGGGCTGCTTCTGACCAGGGTCACAGTTCTGCAGGAGAGACTACAGGGCATGATGCCAGTCAGTGCCCACGGCTCTCCTTTCCCTGGGCTCCCCCCCTCTGAGGCAGCTCTGGGCACTTCTTGGATCACGCCTACCTCTGCAGGTTCTTTACCACCACCTCTGCCTGCCCCTCAGTCTAGCCCCATCTGGCCTGTCTGAAAGGAGTTCAGTCACAAGTCTGTCTGAAAAACTAAACGACCAGTAAGCAGAAGAGGGACTCTTAGGAAATAGGAAGGAACTGGGAGAGAGGGAAGAAGGGGAGGGCAAGAGAGGGTGAAGGGGGTGTAGAGATGATCCAGGCACCATACATGCGGGTATAGATATGTCACAGTGAAGCCCATTCCCTTGTACAATTAATATGTGTTAATAATTTTTTTAAAAGTCCTCTCTGGAATGTACGATCCTGGCCCTCCTCCACCTGGGGCACCCAGACTGCCCTACCTCGAGGCCTCCAGTCTGTCCTTGGCACCCGAGTCCCCTCCGTGGAGGAGGTTAGAACAGAAGGGCAAGGCGCTGACACTTCCTGATGCACCAGTAAGAAAACACAGACTCAAGGGCTGATGCAAGGAGGAACAGGCCCTTAGGGCTCCAGGAAATAGCTGCTCCCTCTGGCAAGGGAGCCCCAGGAGCCCCACGACAAGGTGCTTTCCTTCCATCAGGCCTTAGGTGGGGGGCCCAGCCCCTCTGTTACTGCGTGTCTGACCAGGGATGACGTTCCCTTTAGAACTGAGGCTGTTTAGAGTGGTTCTGCAGTCTGATGGGTCCTTTTGGCTAAAATTGCTGATTCCTGAGACCCATACCCAGGGATTCAGCTTTAGGAGGTCTGGAGCAAGTCTGGGAATTTGCATTTGTTAACGGGCATGAGGATGCTGTTGTGGTGGATGATGGATAGACCTCAGATGACCTTGTCCTATCGACCAGCTCAAGCCTTCCAGTGTGCAGGATACTAGGGCAGTGGCAGGCAGTGGCAGCTCAGTCGTTTGTTCTTTCTTTCTTTGGGGACCTCATGCAATGACAATGGGCATTAGCTCAGAGCCAGGAACCTAAGAAGCCCTCCTGGTGGTATCTGAGTAGGGATGCTCAGATGCTGACCACAGTGGTGAGTTATGACGGAGGCAGAGGCACTGAAGGCAGCCGGGCGTGGCCTGGCAGGACGTCCTCTGCTGTTCTGGGCACACTTGCCAGTTCTCTTCTGAGAGCAGGGGAGAAAGAGAGGAAGCAGGAACTGTCAGAGAGAAGGGCAGAGGGGTCTGCACTCTGTGGAGCTGCAGCCCCTCCTTGCTGCCTGTGGGTCCACGATGCTGTCGACAGCTCACTGGCTGCTGTTCTGCTCAGCTGCCTTCAGTTTGGTGGCACCCATCTATGTGACTGTGTTTTCTGTGGAAAGGAATCATCTTTTTTTCTCCCCCTCCCTTTCTTTTTTTTGGTAGTGATGATTTAACCCAGGGACACGTTAACACTGAGACATATCCCAAACCCTTTTTATTTTTATTTTGAGTCAGGGTCTCACCAAGCTGACCTCCAACTTGGGATCCTCCTGCCTCAGCCTCCCAAGTCTCAAGCATGCACCACCATGCCCAGCAAGGAGGCATCACTTTCTATGTCAGAAGCTTGTGTCTACCTCAGAAAGAGACAACAGAGATAAAGAAGGAATGACAAAACCCCCCTCACCTTCTGACTACATCTCACTAAAGCATCTGTCACTGCTCACTCAGACCCACTTCCCTGCTCCAGAAGGGAAGACAGGGAGAGGCTTCCATATTTTGAGAGTGGTAGAGCAGGGGTGCATTAGGTTTGCTCCCTTGCCAGTCCCCCGTTGTGGGTGACAGCCTCTCAGCTCTGAACATGCAGGTCCAGACTCTGGGGGCCACTGTGTCTGGGCACCAAGACTTATCTCTGGATCAAGTCTTGAGGAGGCACCATGGGGTGCTGCTGGATGCGTGGTGTCCTGCTAAGGATGCCCCAAGATCCACATGGGCATCCTCTCCTTAAAACAGGAGGACGAGCAAACACCATCAATATTTGTTCAACTCTTTGACTTCAGGAGTGTTTTCTGTATTCCTTAAAAAAGGGGAATCCAACTGAAATGTAAAGCAGGATACTCACTCGCCAGATTCAACTTCTCTTAACAGTTGCTTCACTTCTGGTCATTTGCAAGGGAAATCTGAACCCTTGCCTGGCTATATTTAGAACTCTGCAAGGAGCATGGTTTGTTGGGTTTAAAAGATACAATTTGTTTCAATTAGACATATGTCTCACAAGTCACCTGGTGCTGACAGCAGTCTCTCTAGGTTTTCTTAGCTCCAGAATGAGAAAGTGAATAAGTAGAAGTTGTCTTTTCTCCTTCCATTTGGCCGGTTGAGTGGGCTTTGTGTTTTGTATGATGTCATTGCTCAGTCAGTTATTTAGACTGGGAAAGCAGTGCAGTTGTTAAGGGTATGGACCCAGAGCCAGACTGGATTTGAATCCTAGCTGTGCTCCTCCCTAGCCTCATGATGAAATTTGCAGCCAGCTAACCTTTAACATACCTCAGTTTTCTCATCTAAAATTTGGGACTATCATAGGACTTTATTCCAAAGGGTTGCTGTGAAGGATAAGTGGGTCAACGATGTCAAGTGCTTGGAGTTCTGCAGAGAGCATCATAAGCATTTAAGATGTATTAGCTTTATTTCAGCTCATGCCATCTTTTTCTGCTTTTAAAGTCACTATCGGCAAGTAGCAGGAGAAGTCACCATCGTCAGAGTTATAAACCATGGTTTGATCCACAGCCCCTGCCTCCCATACCCACAAAGCACTGCTTGAGGAATTCTTTTTGTGAATGTCTGCAAAATTTTTGTTCTTCCTCATAAATACTTCCTGCTCCATTGTAGACTTTCTAAGACCTCAAGGACTGGTAATAGCTTTTATAGGAGGTTTGGCAAAAGTGCATCTTTTTTATCTGTTCCAAAGGGGGCTGCAATTCCGTGTCCTCAGTCCTCATTCCTGGTGTCCTTGAACTTGTGTCTGGTTTTGGATTCAATGGCATCTTGCTCATGAAGTACTAGCTCGGCCCATTTGGACACTCCATGGAGATAGGTTCCCATTCTTTGCTCTTCTGACCTGTTGACCAGCCTTGGCCAGGAACACAGCTGTGGCGAGCCTTCCTCGCTCTGCTCCACGATGATGATGATGACACCAAGACTGTTGTTTTACAAACTTGGTGCCAATGAGCAAGGGGGAAAGAGGTGTGTATGATAAGATTCACAAATAAAATTAGACCACTAAGGCGAAGAAGTACTTGATTTGTGGTCCATGCTCCAGGACTGTGTCCACAGACAGGGAATTTTTTTTTTGCCAATTTGTCAATTTGAGAAGTTACCACAGGAGATGGCAGGTGACACCTCATAATGGTACCTGTTAGCCTGGCTGGTGTTTGAATGGGGAGAGTCCTTTTGATTGGTGGGGTCATAGCAAACGAGATCTGCTCATTGTTCCTTTTACTTGTAGCCGCTGGGTCCCCACCAGAACCAACTCTGGCTGGGTCTGGAGAGCACACAGGGGAAACTCATCAAAGGAAATGGAAATCCAAGTCCTCGCTAGTTTCTGACAACTCTAGGGACTACAGGAAGGAGATGCCACATCCATACTGCTTGGGACTCTGGCTATCAAGCAAGATGGTGGGTGTGCAGGGTTCATGGAAAATGGAACTGTCATTTGAAAACTGTACTGACCAGCTATGCCAAGGAAAGTCATCCTTTATAGCAGTTTCTTCTGTCTTGGCTAATTACTGATGCACTAAGCTAATGATTTGTGGACACCCAGGCCAAGAGGACCTCGCTTCTACAAAGCATTTATTCCAAAGTTGTCCTTTCTGCCTCCTGACTTCCCTTGCTGGCAAAACACTTGCCCCTTTAGATACAGCTGGGGAACTTCTGCACGGGCGGTCTATTAAGAGTGCATGCAATCAGAGAACTCTATCTAAACACTGCAGTTCCCCAACTGCAAGACAATGGGCAGATTTCCTATGCCCTGACCTCCCGCATGCCCTGGCGTGTCATTCAAAGGGAGGGTTGTGAATGTCCACGTGTTTCCCCTTGTCACAAGCTCCAGCAGATTCCCTGCCTCCTATTGTTCCTCCTGGGGAATGCCTTTGCACCAGGCCTCCCAAACCAGTGACAATGGCCCTGGGAAATCAAGCCAAGGAGCCCAAGAGGAGCCAGATGGCTCTTCCTTTCTCTGGTGGCAAAACTGTGGCGTATCTCGGAATGTAAGACTTTCACACAGATGCTAGAAAATTATTACTCAGGCAAAGAAATTGGCCTTCTATGCAGAAAGAATGATGGTTATGGTTAGGTTTTTGCAGTCTATGCCTTTGTGCTAGTTAAGTGGCCCTAGATAAGAACTATGTGGTTATCTACCCAGAAGGGCAAAGAAGCATTGTGACTTCAAAATAGACTCCAGTATATTCTTGGGTAAAGAAACATATTGCTGGATGTATTAGTCCATTTCTGTTACTATAATAAAATATCCAAGACTGAATACTTTATAAAGAAAAGAGATGTGTTTAACCCAATGGTTTTGGAGATAGAATGTCCAGAGTATGGTGCTATCTCTGGTGATGCTTCCTCTGGCTGTATCACATCATGGCAGATGGCATCACAATGGGAGTGCATGTGTGAGAGAGAGAAGTCACATGGTGGGACAAGAAGTCAGAGTGGGGGAGCGAACAGTCTTGCTCTTTCTTTTTCTTTCTTCTTTGGTACTGGGAATTGAACCCAAGCCCAGGGGCGTTTAATTGCTGAACCACATCCACAGCTCATTTTATTTTTTATTTCAAGACAGATTCTCACTAAGTTTCCTAGGGCCTCAATAAGTTGTTGAGACTGGCTTTGAACTTGTGAGCCTCCTGCCTCTGCCTTACAATTTTTTTTTTTTTTTAAATAATAGTTCACTCTGATGAGAACAAACTGGGATCCCATGAGAGGTACCTAATCCCATCCAAGGCCAGTGCCCCCAGTGACCACCCACTAGTCTCTACCTCTGGAAGCTCACTCCACCTTGGTACTGCCACACTGAGGACCAAGGCTCCAACACATGAGCTTTTGGGGGACAAAACGCATGTAAACCGCAGCAGGTGAGTGTGTTTCCTTGAGTCCTGATGAGAACATGAACTCTGAACCCAAACTGTTTATCTCAGCCAGAGACAAAGAGGAGTGACCTATCTGAAAAGCTCTTTAAATGTCTGATAAGAGTCGTGAATCATCTTTGTATATGTGTTTACACTGAAAAACACAAACTGTTTTTACTCACAAAGTGATAACAGGTGCTCTGAGGAAGTTGTGCCCAGTAAGAGCTGGAAATTTCCCGGTTTCAGGCTTTGTATTGAGGTTTCTGGTGCAAAAGGAATGACTTATTCAATTTCAGTTTATACTAAGATTTTCTCAGAAAACTGAAAGGTTTGTTTCCCCAACTTGTATGCAGTCAGGGTGATTTTTGACTGAGGGAAAGGTAAAGCCCCGTAAGAAACATTCCAGAATCAATAACCATCTCCCAGAAGACAATCGGGTAGGGCTGGGGGTGGTGTAGCTGGGGATGGAGCACTTGCTCAGCAGGCTTAAGGCCCTGGGTTCAACCCCCAGTACGGCAAAAAAATAAAATAAGAAAGAAGATGATCAAGTAACTGCTCTAACGAGTAGAAATGAAGCAGAAAAATGCAGAGTGTATTGAATATAAGAAAACGTGGAGAATTAGGGTTATCTTATCAGAGAAATCCTAGCCTAGAAACAAGAAGAGTATAGACCATAAGTCAGCAACTTTTCTGTAAGAGACCAAGAGAGGGTACTAAATGCTTTAGACTTCTTGGGTCCCAGAGGCTCTGTGAAAACTGCTTAACTGTAAATTGTGGCAGAAATGCAACCGTAAATGATGGGTCAAAGAGCAGACATGACTGGTTTCCAGTAAGATTTTATTTGTGGACACTGAAATGTGAATTTCATCTAATTTTCATGTATCACTAAATATTATTCCTTTCTTAACTTTTCAGCAATTTAAAAATAAATAAGCCATCCTTACAATGTAGTCTATACAAAAAATAGGCAGTGGTCTGAGGTGGTGGTTTGTCTACCCTCAGTGTGACCATAAACTAGTGTACAGCAACATCAGCTACCAGATCCAAAGACCTTAAGGTGGGAATTCTTCTTTAGATAGGGTGTTATTATCCAGACTACACATAAAGCTTACATTATATGCAACCATGGAAGTAGCATTTAAACATTCACATTCCAACTCCCATCACACACACAAACACCTGGCTTAAGACCATGAGTGCTTTTTTGTAGTGGTTCTCAAAGTGTAGTCCCTGGACCAGCAGATACTGGGAATTCTTTAGAAATTCATCTTCTCAGGCTCCAGCCTAACCCATTGCATCAGAAACTCTGTGGGATGGGGCACAGCAACCTCTACTTTAATAAATCATCTGAATGATTCTCATATTTCTCAAGTTTGAGTACCATTGAAGTAGGAATGAATGGAGTGACTCAGGCTAGGGTGTTCACTATACCTCTGCCTGATGATGCTGAGCATCAGCCTCAGCTTCTCATAATGGAATCAAGGGAAAAGGTATAGTTATGATTTGCCTATGGCCACTTCTGCTTTATAAAGGAGATTTAACCTTCAAATAAAAGAGAAAAATAATCTTTAGGTCTCTTTCTTCCATTGACCTTGGCTAGAGAAAAAGGAGAGGGGAAAGACTGAAATTTCAAAGTCATGCACCTACAATGCCGTCTACAATGCAGGCAGCTGCAGGAAGCAGAGTGGAAAACACGCGTGAATCTATGAACCGTGGCACCTGGAATCTGGCTCTTAGAAGATCTTCAACAACTGGTGATCATGATTGGCGAAGTGGTTGTTATTGAATCTGCTATGTTTTGAATTACCAAGCTTGTCAATTTTGAGAAGTAATTCCATTTTTTAGACTGAAGATTTTGATGGAAAATCCTGATCCCTCTAGGCTAAGTGTCTCTCTTAGTTAATTATGATCGTAGAGGGCTCCTTGGATCAGGATATGATCATAACCCAAGGGGACCACTTGCCTGGGGGCAGCTAGATTGAAACCCTCTGAGGAGATCATCCTCCTACTTGCACTGAGGTTGAAAAAGGCCAATGTAATGTCACAAAAGTGTCCACAAACTATGGGCCAAATCTGGCCCATGGCACTGCTAAGAATGATTTATATATTTTTAAAGCTTGTGAAAGAAAAAAAAAGGTCACCAAAACCCCAAATCAAGGCATATTTGACAAAGATTATATATAGCCAACATAGCCCCAAATATTTACTATCTGGTTCTTTATGGAAACTTTGCAGTCCTGACTCAGGCCATGGTGGCTCTCAGACCCCATAGTTAGGGAGAGGGAGAAGAACTCAGGGGTTTGTGTGTGTGACAAACACCTGGAGAAGCCCCACATTCAGGGATGTACCTGGTATTTAAACCTGGTATTGTGTTTAGTCCCAGGAAAGGGCTGGGAAGCACGTTATTCTGTTCCTTTCTCATGACCCCACAGCGCCAGGCCCAGGGAGGAGAAAGGAGCTCAGATCTCAGGGTTGAAGTTGGTCCTGCAGATATACCGCTCCGCAGCCCCAGAAGCCCCAGGAGGGAGCCTCTGGCAGGGACAGTTGGCTTAGCCTGAGGGGGAGCAGAAGTGAGGTAACCTAGGAACAAGGTCACTGTCTGTAAGCCAGAGGCGGGCTGTGATCTGAGAGTAGGAGAGGACTCCCAAGAGAGTCTAGTGCCCAAGGCTGAGGTCTCCTCCAGCTCAGGAAGCTGGTCACTTCCTAAGGAAGCCTGAGCTTGGGGTGGGTATTATCCTACAGTGTCCCATTCAGGGCGCCACATAGGTGATCTCTCTGCCCTACCTTCTGCCCGAGCACTTGGTTCACTGCCTTGCTAAGCTGTTGGGGAAAAGGGCAGCACCTTCCCGGGCCCTTCCTTCCTCACCTTCTTCCTGCACATACAACCAGGGGACCTTTCCAATTGCCACATCAGCATGTTTGGGTTCAGGGTAAGACAGATTGTGAGGTGGGAATCTAGACTCCACATCTGATGCTTTGTTTTGAATCCTATGTCTCCCTCACTCCTGTTGGCACAGGGGGAACACCTGCAGAGTGGAATTTGAATAGAGGCGCATTCCTCTTAGGGGAAAAATCCCTCTGCCTGCCTGGCAGAGGCTAAGCCCTTAGGCCAAAGCACCCAGGGTCCCTGGTGGCCCTGCTGATTCAGCAGTCCTACCTGCCCTGGCCCACTTAGGAAAGTCACTTGATGGCCCCCAACATGCTCTAGGTAGCCAGGTAAGTGACTACCCCGGCCCCCTTGAGGGTGCAGATCTAGCATGGGTGATGGGGAGTGCAGGACTGGGTAGTTAGGTAGGACTGAGCAGGGTGGAAAGACCCTAGGACTGCACAAGGGTGGGGCTACCTCAAGATGCCACCTGCTGCCAGGGTCCAAGAGCTGTTGTCTCCTGGCATTTTGCAGAATAGGAGAGGTCAAGTCAGGGGAAGGTTGTTTGGAGCTCTCTAACAAGAGGGACCTTGTCTCTTTGGTTCCCTGCTGAATTCCCACTCCCCCTCACAGTGTGTGCCTCCTGGAAGATGCCCAGGTGCCTGTTGATGTTGGCCATGTTGGAAACCCTATTTTAAAAGGGAAACCAGCTTGTTTTACAAAGAAGGGCCAAATCACTCCCTAGGCAGTGGCTAGTTCAACAATCTATTCTAGAAATTCTTTCTAGACTCAGTCATTAGATGATATTGAGCCCCTGTTGTGGTTTCACCCTGTGCTAGAGACAGAGGAATGGAGTAGACTCAGGCAGCTGTGCTCCAGGTTGGGGTGGTTCATGGACCGTGGTTCAGTCAAGCTCTCAGCTCCAACATGCGTCACCAGGCCTGAGTTCTTCATCTCAGGATCCTGAGATCAAGAGGGGCAGCAGAATTGACCAGAGTCTGAAGTCTTGAAGTCAGAGTGACCTGCGTTCAAATCCTAGCTCTGCCCCTTCCTAGGGCTGGGACCTTAAGCATGTTATTTTAAAACTCTTGGCCTTAGGTTTTGAGCTGTAGAATGGAGGTAATAATGGCATCTGTCTCAGTGTGTGGTTATGAGGAAGAAATGAAATGATGGCCATGATTGCAGATTCCATTTATCATGTACATTGTCTCCCTGGAGGAGGCCTGGGACAGAATAGGAGTTAAGAGATTTTAACTGCTGCTGTTGTTATTATTATTATTATTATTATTATTAATTTTGCAGTACTAGGGATTGAACCCAGGGCCTCACTCATGCTAGGCAAGCACTGTACCACTCCCAGTTCAATTTTTAGTGATTGTTATGGAATTTTTTCTTCTGTACCAGGAATGCTGCCCAACTCCCCAGTGATATCTAAGGCTCGGCCCAGCCATGGATACTCCTTCAGAATGCAGCACTGTGGGGCGCTTCCCCTCTCAGGACAGATTCTTTTATGTTTCCATTGGAACCTGTGCACATAGCTGTCCTTATAGTATTGTGGGTTCCAAGTCTGCCTCTTCTCCAGACTGAGAGACCCTTGGAGCCAGGGCACTTTTTATTTATCCCATTTCCTCCTGGGTTACATGATTTCTATTGTATTAGGAGTTAAAGTGCTGAATAAATGAATCCAAAAGTCAGATTACAACATTTAAGACATAGGGTTGTTACATATAATTGGGTTTACTGGAGGTCAGAGCAAAAGAAGAAATGTACTGAAGCTTATAGCATGTGTTCAAAGGAGAAGAAAGTCTATATATGGCATTCATTCATTATATATTCATTCATAAATTCATACATTGAAACTTAACCCCCAAAGTGGGTGATGGTACTAGAAGGTGAGACCTTTGGGGGGTGATTAGGTCATGAGGGCAAAGCCTGCATGATGGAATTGATGTCCTAATAAAAGATCCCACAAGAGCTAGCTTACCCGTCCCCCATGTGAGGACACAGAGAGGGGTCCCATCTGTGAATCCAAAAGTGGGCCCTTTTCAGACACTGACTCTGCTTGATCCTGGACTTTCCAGTTCATAGAACTATAAGTAACAAATTTCTGTTGTTTACAAGCTATCCAGTTTATGATATTTTGTTATAGCAGCCTGCATGGACTCAGCATTATATTATCTATAATTTCCTCTAAAGAAACTTTAACTAGTGTGTTGATGATGTGTACTTAAAGTTGTTTAATCAATACCCTAAGCATATTTATTTAACATTCCAAGTTTCCTAATCTTCCACTTTAAGGGTAGTTCTGTTACATTTCCACGTCTGATACTAGTGTTTTAGTTACATTTATTCCCTATGAACACCAAAAGTTTTGTTCGATAGCATCCTAGGTGCTGGGTTTTGTTTTTCGTTGGTGCAATGCATGGTGCTTGTTGGCTTGGTCAGTAAAGTCATCCGGGCATCCTTGCCTTTGAACCATCAAGGCATAAGCAGCTCCCACCCTTTGGAATGACTCCTGGGTCTTAGCATTCCACTAGATTCTGCATCCATCTGCTTAAGGAGAATTCTGTCATCTGACCAATTAGCTGAGTTTTGCTGCTAGCTCCTTGTCACATCTGCTTCTAGTGAAAGGACAGAGAGCTGAGACAAACCAGGTGGTCGGATGCTTTGGTTCCTGCAGGCTGATAACCATCTCTGTGTGTCAGACTTTGGTGTGACACTTGCTTTCATTGTAGCAGGCCACCTGTTGAGAGGTGTTGAAACCTGCCCTAAGACTATGAACCTAATGCTGTAACGATGACTGACCATTGGTGCAAGTCAACCGGAAAGAACACACTATGGAAATCAAGAATGTGCTGGAGGGATGCAGAGGCGGACAGGATCAGCAAGATGTGATGGCTGATTAAATATGACCGCCAGGGAGAGGGTGTGTGGAAACAAGGCCGTGTGCACGGAGAGGCAAATGCGTTTACAAAGTACATCCACATGGCTTGTTGGTCCTCACAGCAGCCCAGAGGGATGGATTAGGCAGTTATTAAGAACGGAGGGAGTGACTAACAAGAGTGTCCGCAATGTGCTCAGAGTCACTTGGTAGAGAAGTCATGCTGTTGAGCTCCAGACTCAGGTTTTCAGACCCTTAGTCAATTCCTTTTTCATTATTCCTCCTGCACTCGAAGAGTTTAAGGTTAGAGAAATTGGGAGGTTGGGAGAGAAAAGACAGAGGGTTGAGATAAAGAGAAAGAGCAGATTGTGGGGCTGGGGATGTGGTTCAAGTGGTAGTGCACTCGCCTGGCATGCGTGCGGCCCGGGTTCGATCCTCAGCACCACATACAAACAAGGATGTTGTGTCCGCCGAGAACTAAAAAAATAAATATTAAAAAATTCTCTCTCTCTCTCTCTCTCTCTCTCTCTCTCTCTCTCTCTCTCTCTCCCCCACTCTCTCTTAAAAAAAAAAAAAAAAAAGAGCAGATTGTGAGAGATGGCAGGTAGCTCCTCAGCTGGAGGAGGAGGAGCCCCTCTGAGGGCCTTTAGGCCTCTGTGGATGCTGAATTTGACTCCTCAGTGGGAAGAGGGTAGCTTCTCTGTCCTCTGAGCCTCGCGGGGCTCCCTAAACCTGATGACCATCCTGTCGCTCATTCTGCAGACTGCAGACTTCCTCAGGCCTTCTTTTCTGTTGAGGCCCCTGGTCTCACCTCCAAACTGCCCCATCCAGAAACAAAAATGACCTCCTGCCTTAGAACTTAGCTGGGGACAGGGGGGTGCCATGCACCAAGGGGATGGAGGAAACCAGAGCCGCGGGTCCTGTTTTCCTTGGCTTTGTCACTGTGGGCCCTTGGCGACTCCTCACAGTGTGTACAGCATACCCTCTGGGGTCATTCAGAGCTGCCTAGCTCTGCAGCTTCCTGCCATTTCGAAAAATGATCCAATAAATAAGAGAGAGCTCACATTCTCTCCCGTGGACGCCCACAACGCCACGGCACAAGAGCCAAGGTGGCACCGCACGTTGACTCCTTAGGCGTCATCTTGAATTTTGACCAGTGACTTCCCTGGTCCCAGGGGACCCTTTTAAGAAGGCAGGCTCCTGGGCCTGGTCCAGGCTTGGTGTGATTTTGCAGATTTAAAAGAGACTCTTTCCTCCCGAGAGTTGCCTGTGTTTATGTTTAAGGGACCTTTGCTCCTTTGTCCCGGGACCGGCTACAGGCTTGAATGAAAACAGAACTCCCCTTGTGCTCTCTGCCAGTGTCCATGTGGTCTCATTCCATTGGCACCACCCATCTGATTAGTAATAAATTGCCTTCAGGCCTAGGCTGGCTCTGTTCTCCGCGAGTGTGTCCCCAACATCTCCCTGTGGCTTCAGTTTTCTGTTTCTAAATTGGTCTTGACAGATTTAGAAGGTGCCTCAGAGACATTTCTGTGCCCGGTGAACAACTTGACTTGGCCTGTGGCTCTGGGCCTGGCAACTGAGGGCAGGAGCGTGGTCTGGGCTTCTGAGAGTGGAGCCCAATAGAGAAATCAACCAGGGAGAGACTTCAGTTAAGAAATTTCCACCGGGCATGGTGGCACAGGTCTGTAATCCCAGAGACTTGGGAGGCTGAGGCAGGAGGATCCAAGTTTGAGGTTAGCAATTTAGTGAATCCCTAAACAACTCAGCGAGACCCTGACTCAAAGTAAAATATATGAAAGGGTTGGGAATGTGGCTCGGTAACTGAGTGACCCTGTCTCCCCCGCAAAAAAAGAAAAAATTCCAAGCTTGTCTGAGAGAGTTGCAAGCAGAGTCCAATCAGAAACCTTACCTGCTTTTGAGGCACAAAAAGAGGTTGAAGGAAAGAGTCAGAGAGGAGCAAATACTATTCCCATTTTAAATTTTAATTCTTCCTGCTAAAAACTTAGCTTCCAGTGCAATGTGAATGTCTCAGGGGGAAGGACTGTATAAGTCTCCTTACCCTCTTCACCTCAGTGTTAATGAGTACATTCGACCCTCTCCTGGAATTAGGAAAGAAAGAGAGAACCATGTTTGGGATTTAAAACAAAAAAAAAAAAAACAGAAGGGAGGTGTCTGGGGGCCAGGAAACCACACTCTGGCTTTCCAGCAACTTCGCCTGGATATGGGGAGGGTTTGGGGCCTGGAGGCAGATGTGCACACAGCAGGCTGACGCACAGGGACCTGGGCTGACATGTTCTCTGGGAAATGTTTCACATGAATGCCTCAAGAGGAACGGATAGAGGCGCATCTCCAATTCCTTGAAGTTTATCTTTTTGGCATCCCTTGGTAATGTAGTTTTTTTAAAACACGGAGAAACCTCAGTAGTAGGCTGTATATTATGTGAATTATGCAGGAAATAACACTGACGTTATTGACTCTGGAATTTTTTTTTTATTATAGCAAAATATACATTACATAAAACTTACTCTCACCATTTTTAAATGTGTACTTTGATGGCATTAAGTACATTCACATGGTCCTGTAACTATCACTGCAATCTGCCCTGTTGTCCCAGTGCCTGGTAAGCACTGGCCTGGGGTCTACCTCAATGAATGACTCTAGAATTTGGCAATAGGGTCATCTTTTCCCTTGCCCTTTCCAGCCAGAAAACCTATAATCCATGGGTTTA